TCAGAATTTAGGACAAATGTGCACTAAACAGAAATAAGTTTTGTGGTGTTAATTTAAAAAGGCTGACAAAAGGAAAAGAATCACTTGCCCTTTCTACCGCACGTAATGGTCACCTCATGAATTTGTGATACAGGTTCTGGATTTTAGAAACAGAGGTGGCGTTATAATGGATTTCCCTCTGCATTATCTATCTATCTATCTATCTATCTATCTATCTATCTATCTATCTATCTATCTATGTATCTTCAATCAATCAATCTTTCATATCATCAATTTTCTTTCTTCTATTATTTCCATTCTTCCTTATTTCATCATCTAGCCAACATTTAAACATAAATAGCCTTATTTTTTAACTATCAACATGAAAGTATTTTATTAGTTCTTTAAGAATTTCATACAATGCATTTTGGTCATATTCACCCCTCTTCTAACTCTTTTCTGATCCATTCTCTTTTCCCTACCCACCCAATTTGTGTCCTCTTAAAATAACATCAAGTCCAATTTTTTACTTGCAATGGAAAAGTCTGATTTATTTTAAAGTTCTACTTTTCCTTTTAACTTATGTGTGTTTGTTTGTGTGTGTGTGTGTGTGTGTGTGTGTGTGTGTGTGTGTGTGTGTGTGTGTGAGAGAGAGAGAGAGAGAGAGAGAGAGAGAGAGAGAGAGAGAGAATTGTGTAGGCCGCATGTGTGCTTGTCTAAAGGAGGTTTGAGGTCTGGAGTTTCAGTTACAGAAGATTGTAAGCTGTCCAATGCTGGTATTGGGAACTGAACTTCTCCTTTGAAAGAGCAGTATGCACTTTAACACTCTAACCGTCTCTCGGGACCCAGAAAAATCTTATTAATAATATATTTTGGAGGGATTTTCTAAGACAAGAGTTTGCTATATAACAGTCCTGGCTTCCTGAAACTTACTCTGTAGATCAGGCTGGCCTTGAACTCACGGAGACCCGCCTGTCTCTGCCTCCTGAGTGCTGGGATTAAGGACGTGCGCCACCACTACCCTGAAATAATAATATGTTTTAAGGTAAATCAGAAAAACTGAAAAGATCAGTTGTAAATTTATCTGTAGCACTGCTTGCTGAACTTTTAGGTAGTAACCCTCTGCCCAATGAACAGGCAGCAAATACATACTCCCATTCTGGAGGTTACCCTTTTTTTCAGTTTCTTTTTTGTTGCTTTGACAAAAGCACTCTGACAAAAGCAACTTATGGGAGAAGGATTTATTCTATGTCACAATTTATGCTATAGTCCTTCATGCTGGGCAAGTTATAGAGGCCTCAGGAGCTTGCATTTGCAATGCATCTGCAAGCAAGAAAGAGAGGGCAATGAATGCATGCTAGTGTTCAACTAGTTTTCGGGATCTTATCGAGTCCAGAATACTGTTGCCCAAGAAGTGTTCTCACTGCCATTGGGTGTGTTTTCTGCATCACCTGTGCAGAGAACAAGTGTCTAGGGTGTGCTTGGATTAGAACATCTGTATCGCACGCCTCCTTCCAAAGTTCAGAAAACTTTGAGAAAGACAGCACACGAAGACTGTGAGAGCCAGAGGCTGGGGAAGACAGGTGAAACCATGTCTTCTGGACATGACAGAATCACAGCACAAGACCTGCACAGCATCAGTCCAGTTAGCACTGCAGCATAGATGCAGGAGGGGCATGGAAGACTACACCACTAACTGAGGAGCTACTGACAATTGATGGGTACTAGTGAAGGGTAAGTTTTCTTCAGGAATATCATCCTTGATAGGTTGAGTATGCTTCAGTGGGTGTCTATGGGCAGCACAAACTGGACTCTGTGAGTTACTTAAAAAGATAAGGACATAAAATAGGGAGAGTGTTGTAGAGGAAGATCTAGGAAGAGTTTGAGGGGAGGAGATGAGTGGAAAGTAAATATAATTGAATACATTGTATACATTCATGAAATTCTCAAAGAATACATTATTTTTTAAAAAAATACTGTGTTTTTTTTTTAAATCGAACCTTCACAGGCATGCCCAGAGGTGCACAGGTGACTCTCAATTCTATGAAGCTGACAATTAGCATTAATCATCTTCTAGCTCTGTTGGTACCTTTTCTTTGCAGAAATGTTTACTTTGTTATAATCTTATTTGTCAACTCTTGCTTTAATCCTGAACTATTGACATTCTATTTGGGAAGTCATTACCTGGGCATCTTTGTTGGGATATCTTCCTTATGTTTTTATGAACTTTTAAGGTTTTGGATCTTAAATTTAAAATCAAATTAATTTGGAACAGAATTTGTACAAAAGGAGGCACAAGAGCCTTGATTCTCTCATGTACATGCAGATAACTTGTGTTCCCAGCACACTGTGTTAAAAAAGAATGTCCTTTCTCCAAGGGCTGTTTTTGCTACATTTATTGAGAATCAGTTTGCCAAAAGTATATTTATTTCTGTGTCCTCTCTTTAGTACCATTGCATTGTTTTGTCTATGCGGAGCCTTGTTGCATATGTGTGAATTTTAACATTTCAGTTGTACACTGTTCAGTATGTATGCTGGCTTATGGATTTGTTACATAATGCCCCTGTTATGTAGAGATACAATCCTGCTTTTTGTAATTTATTTGTGACTTCTATTGTAAAGGGATATTTAATTAAATGAAAGGATTTTCATATGCCTATTGATATAATCGTGTATTATTTTTTTAACATTTGAATCTATTTGTGAGCTACTTATATTGAACCATTCACACATTCTTGAACTGAAACCAATTTGATCAAGATGATTGATATTTTTAATGTACTTTTAAATTCTATTTAAAAGTATTTTTGTTGAGTAATAATGTACTTATGTTCCTAAGAGATATTGGAACAAGTTACTTTTTAGTTGTATTTTTTCCAAGTTTTAGTAACACAGACATATTGGCTTCATAGAATGACTTTTGATATAATTGCTTCTCTTCCTATTTTATAGATTCTTTTTAAGGAACATTGGTATTATTCATTCTTTAAAGAGCAGCAGGGAATCTATCCAGTCTTATCTTTTTTCTTTGTTGGAAAACTTCTTGCTACAGCTTCAATATCGCTACTTGGTACTGATTGATTAGTTATGCTTTTGGTTCAGTTTTATAGCATATATGTCCACCTATATATTTTCCAATATATTTACATGTAGTTCAACAAAATAATCCGTAATGAGTTTCTGGATTTCTAATTAGTTTTTAAAACTAGTTTTACTTATTTGTCATTTTTCTCCCTTTCTTTTGATAAACTTAATATAATGGTTCTCCTTATCCTTTTTATAATAACCACCTTTAAATTAATCTTTTTGCTGTTTTTTGTTTCTATTTCATTTATTTTTCTGTACTATTTGTTATTCCTTTTGTACTGATATGGAATTTGGTTTGGGACTTGTCCTTATAAGTCTTTGGGATGCATTTCAAGTATTTATTTAAAATTTCTCTATTTGACTAATATAGACTCTTTCATTTGATTAGAAGAATTTTATAATTTCTACCTTGACTTCTTCAATAATTCACCAGTCATGAACTACTATGTTGTCTAACCACAGCATGTATGAATAGATTATTCAGTTTCTATTGCTATTGACTTCTGTTTTAATTCCACTGAGATTATATATATAAAACACAATAAATTATTGTATTTTAATTCAATAATAATTTCTCTGAGGCTAAATACATGGGGTATGTTAAAATGCTGATAATCAACTGTGTATTCTGCAGCTGTTGAATGAAATATTATATAGAGGTCTCTAAGTCATCTTACTACATTTAGTATGATTCTGATGTTTCTTATCTAATTTTTGGCATTGAAGATCTATCATTTTCAATGGGTGTATTTGAATTGGGGTATTTAAGTTACCTGCCATTATTTTAATGAGACCTTATGACTAGTTGTGGATTTATAAAATTACGGATATCAGCACTGGGAACATCTACATTTATAGTGGTTGTATCTTCTTTTTATGGTGTGGAGTCCAAATTCAGATCCTTGCCCATGCCAGGCAAGCATGTTACTACTTCCCAACCCTTAGTTATATCTTCTTCATGAATTCTTCTGTTGTTCAGTGTATAGTGACATGTTTTTGTGTCTTAAAGTCTATTTTGCTGGTTATTATTATGACTACTCCTGCTTGATTACATTTGCTTGGATTATCATTTTCCATATTTTCTCTCAATCTGTTTCTGTGCAGAGATATTATTTTCTTGTAAACATCATACTTTTAGAATGTCTTAGCTCAAGTAGATTCTCTGTGTCTTTTAGTTGGAGAATTAAGATTATTATACTCATTGTAATAACTGGGTAATAACTATAATTTTATTCTTCTTGTTTCAAATATTCTGAGTTTTATGTTTTATGCTTTGTTGTACTGGTAATGTTTGATTCCTTTCCTTTTCTCATTTGCATGTCTACTCTTATAATGGGATACTTTCGTTCAGGAGCAGTCATGCTAGTCCTATGTTTCTTCCTCTTCTGAGCAGAGGTTTCCTTAAACACCTTCTTAATGGTCATCTAGTGGTCCTGCCCTCCCACAATTTATGTTTCTCTGAGATCGTATTTCTCCTTTTATTCTGGAGGGTAATTTTGCTGTGTATACTAATCTCGGTGGAAAGTTGTTTTCTTTGGGAATTTGAAAGACATCATCAGTGCCCTTCTGTCCTTGAAAGTTTCACATGAAGTGACAATCATCTGTCTGGACCTGGTGGGTGGATTCAAAGAAGGGTGGAGGAGGAAGGCACAGGACACGACGCTCCTGGGAAGATGCTCCTTAGAACTGGGTTGCAGCCAAAAGAGCCTTAGGGCAATCAGACTGCAGCCACCAGGAGGACCCCTCTGTCCCTAAAGCCCACCAGAGATTCCAGCACAGAAAAGCCTCAGATTAGGTCCTCCGGTAGTCCTGGAGAGTGTTAGAGGTTGATTGAGTCCCACACCCTGTGTGACCCCCTACGGGACGGAAGCACCCCTGTATTTAAAAAGAGCTGAGAAGAAAGAAGTGTTTAGTCGCCAGCTGGAGACTAACGGATGCTCAGCTGCACTACATCCAGCATGCCCGGGATGATCTGCAAGAACTCGGACCTGGAGTTTGACTCGCTGAAGCCCTGCTTCTATCCGGAAGAAGATGACGTCTACTTTGGCGGTCGCAACTCCACGCCTCCGGGGGAGGACATCTGGAAGAAGTTTGAACTGTTGCCTACGCCTCGGTTGTCACCCAGCCGCGCTTTAGCGGAGCACAGCCAGGAGCCGGTGAACTGGGCTACCGAGATGCTGCTGCCTGAGGCCGACCTATGGGGTAACCCAGCCGAGGAGGATGTTTTTGGCCTGGGAGGACTCTGTGGCCTCAGCAACAACCCGGTCATCCTTCAGGACTGCATGTGGAGTGGTTTCTCCACCCGGGGGAAGCTGGAGAGTGCGGTAAGCAAGAAGCTGCCAAACGGCTCTGGGTCCCTGCCCGCCGGCCGCAGCACCTCGGCCCCTAGAGCGACTGCTGCAGCCAGCTCTGCGGGCCACGCGCGCAGCGGAACAGCAAGTGTGGGGCGTGGGAAAGCCGCCTGGCTCACAGAGCTCGCCCACCTGGACTCAGAGTGCATGGACCCCGCTGTGGTCTTCTTCCCAGCGAACAAGCGCCAGTGGGTGCCGGTACCGGCCATCCCCGCCAATGTTGGCACTGCCGGCACTGCAGTCAGCCGTGGTAACCACCAGGCCTCCAGCACCCCCAGAGAGAACATCCTGAGCAACTCAGGTACTGAGAAAGAAGATGAAGAGGAAATCGATGTGGTCACGGTGGAGGAAACCCAGTCCTCCAAGACTGTCTCCAGGCTCCCCACCGCGGCGCGTCCTGGGAACGCAGCTCTGGGCCCCGGGCGCGCGCAGTCCAGCGAGTTGATCCTCAAGCGCAGAGTCCTCATTCATGAGCAGCACAACTACGCTGCGCCACCGTTGCCCTATGTGCACAGCGAGGACGCGCCGCCGCACAAGAAGCTCAAGAGCCAGGCTTCACTACGGCCCCTCAAGTGCATTCTCCCACTGAAGCCTACAAGACTGGCTCCCCGCAACTCAGAGTTGCAGGACATTGAGCGTCGCCTCAACCACAATATGATGGAGCGCCAACGCCGTGACAGTATGCGCTCCAGCTTCCTGATCCTCAGGGACCTTGTGCCTGAGCTGGTGCACAATGAGAAGGCAGCCAAAGTGGTCATTCTGAAAAAGGCCACCGAGTACATTCGCACCCTGCAGGCTGATGAGTGCAAGCTCCTGATGGAAAGGGAGAGACTGCGCGCAAGACAACAGCAGTTGCTGAGAAAAATCAAATACCCTGAGACATACTAAATGTTTCTGAAATGGACAGTTACTGCTACTTTGCACATGTTGACTTGAAAAAAAAGAATGTTGGTTTACCTTCATATTGGTCCCTTGTCAAGTTTGGAGCTGGATAGGGGCAAGCCATGGAGTTCTAGTGGGGCCTTGGAAAGTCTAGGAATAGGATGCTAGGTGACTTCTTTCTTTCCTTCAACCTCAGTGATGGTCATGAAGGTTCAGGATAGTTGGGAACCTTGGAAGGCTGTTGAAGTCATGTTTACTCCAAGTTTCCAGAGTCACTTCTTTTACAGGAGTCATTACATTCCAATAGATGCCACAGAAAGGGCATTCTCTTTGGATGTCCCTGGGGGAATATTTCTGTAAATTCCATCGACTCGTCCACCAAGAGGTCAGTATTACACTGGAAGTTCACACCTTAGTATCGTAATAACACCTCAATGTTTGAGGAGCATGTTTTGTATACAGATATATTGTCAATTTCTGTTACGTACTGTACTAATTCTTACACTGTCTGTGGTGTATTTTAGTATGATGCTGATACGTAACTAAATTTGATATTTATGTTTACATATGAAAATGAAGAGTGAAGGTTTTTAGGAGATAAGACTTTATCACTTTTTCGAATTAAGAAACTTTTTAAAGAAGTTATATATGTATATGTATATTCCCTTTTCTCCAAATCTTTCTGTAAGTGTATTTGTTCATGTGTGATGCGTACAATTGAGTGAATGCAAAGTTGTGTGCTTAATTTCTACAAAATATGTGCCCTTTGAAATACCTCATGTTGTTATGAAATAAATAGCAATTGAATGATTTTTGAAAGAAATTTCCTGGTGAGAGAAATTCTTTTTCAACTAATTAGCTTGCTCTTAAATGTGCTTTGGCACTTCTGCTTCACAGATTTTAATATTCTTTCTCTGATCTGCACTTGTGGGTATTTAGTCATAACATGGTATAAAGAGGTTCTCTCTTGGTCAGATTCAATAAGAAATAAAGACTTGCATATTCATGACTTTCATAAAATATGGGGAAATTTCTGCTGTATTCCACTGAATAGGTGTAATATACTCTTTGCCTTTAGCTTGCCTTCCTCGGGCATCTAAGTGAGCCAGATGTTTGGTCATATAATGGTCTTACAAAGAACTTATGTCTCAGAGATCTGTTTTCTTGTGATTCTTTTTTCACTGTTCTTATGTGAAAATATGATCACATAATCATGTTCAAGTTCAGATATCCTTTTTATTCCTACTTAATTCAGCCTATTCAGGCTTTCAAAACTTTTAATGTATATTAACTAAACCAAATAATAGATTCATTATATCATTTTCGTGTATGTACACAAAGTACAATATTAATATTTAACATCCATCACCCTCCTGGTCCTTTCCCCATATAGTAGTGACCAATATATATTTCTGTTTTTTACAATCTTGGTTCTACATATGACAAAAAACATGATGCTTATCTGAAGTGTCTTATTTGTTTAGCATTGCAATATCCATTTTCATACCAATGATAGAATTTCATTCACTGTATGGTTGAATATACTTCATTGTATATGTGCATTTATCTTTTTATTTGGGGGGGGGGTTGAGATAGCGTGTCTCTGTAGCTTTGGAGCCTGTTCTGGAACTAGCTTTTGTAGACCAGGTTGGCCTTGAAACACCTGCCCCTGCCTCCTGAGTACTAGGATTAAAGGCATGCACCACCACTGCCCAGCAATGCATTTATCTTTTTAAATTTCATATAGATGATTTTATCTCTTTTATATGCTTTTCTAAGGTGTTATTTTTCATGTCAGGATTTATTTTTTATTTTTATATTTATCATTTGAGAATTTCATACATGAATATGCTATTACACATTCTTTATCTATTTGCTTATTGATGTTTAGATAGGGCAATTCTATGACTTGGCTTTTGTGAACAGTGCAACAATGAGCATGGGGATTCAGGTATATGTTCTTTATGGAAAGTTTGGTTCTTTTGAGCACACATACACACATGTTATGGGACTATAACATGTAGTTCTGCCATTAGCTTTTAAGAAAACTCCATTTTGATTTCCATAGCCTATGAACTAATTTGCCTTACTGTTGAAAGTGTAATCAGCATTCCATATTTACTATAATCTCAGAAACAATTGCTACTTATTATTATTATTATTATTATTATTATTTTTGGTTTTTTCGAGACAGGGTTTCTCTGTGGTTTTGGAGCTTGTCCTGGAACTAGCTCTTGTAGTAGACCAGGCTGGTCTAGAACTCACTTATTATTTTGTTAATAATGTGCTAACTAAAGTGAGGTAGAATTTCAATGTTGTTTTGATTTGAATGTCTGTAATGAGTATGGATTTATGGCCTTCTCTACTCCTTGGTTCAAATTTGGTAGGTTTGTTGTTCCTAAAATATTATATGTATATATATATATATATAATTGATTTCCCAATTTATTAGAACATAACTTTTCAAAAATATTCTTTAAAAATGATCTGGATTTTATAAGTATCTGTTTTAATGTATCTTATTTCTAATTTTATCAACTTGGGTCTTCTCTGTCTTCATTTTGGTTAGTTTGACTAAGAGTTTGACACTCAGCAGTATTCTGAGTATATGAGGCCTCAAAGGCTGCCCCCACAGTGACATACTTCCTTCAACAAGGCCACACCTCCTAACAGTGCCACTCCCTATGAGATTATGGGGGCCAATTACATTTAAACTACTACACTCCCTAAGTTTGCTTTAGCCACTATATTTATCCCAACAATAGAAGGCAAACTAGATCAAGTAAAGCTAACAGGAGTATCCTAACTGGCAGAGCAAATAATAGGTGATATTATCATATCAGGTGGTTACAAATATTTAACAAAAGTAAACTGAGGAAGCCCCGCTGAAGCATCCAAATGCAATTCCTGGTGCAATGTCTTGAGTTGAGCATAGGGTCCCTTCTCTCTTAGCTGAGGCTTCCAAGTAAAATAGCAGATATCAACAGATAGATAACATCAGCAAATCAAATGCAATCATCCTGCAGGAATGGATTGGGGTGTAGGAGGAGGCTGCTAGTTAGTTCCCGGCCACTTAGCCCCGAAATAATCACACAGAGGAAATATATTATTTAAATCACTGCTTGGCCCATTAGCTCTAGCTTCTTATTGGCTAACTCTTACATCTTAATTTAACCCATCTCTATTAATCTGTGCATCACCACGGAGTCGTGGCCTGCCAGCAAAGTCTGCCTCTGGTGCAACTCCATAACTTCTCTCTAACTCCTCCTCCTTTCTCCCAGAATTCCGTTTAGTTTTCCCTGCCTAGCTCTGTTCCCCTATAGCTCTGCTATAGGCCCAAATCAGTTCTTTTATTAACCAATGATATTCACAGCATACAGAGGGGAATCCCACATCACTGGGGAAGACTTACTGAAACAGTCACGCTAGCGTTATCAATTGAGAGTTTCAGGCAGAGCAGAGCATTCTCTCCATAGATAACCTTCTGACTTTCCGTCCTACTCTAGGTATTCTTATGAAATAAAAATAGTAATCTCTATTGGCAATAGTTTACCTTCTAATTATTCTTAGGGAGAACAACGTTTTTAATACCTGTAACAGCTTGCTGGTTTTTTTTTTTTTATCCCTGTTAATGACTTAGGGGACAAGCCTGCCCCCAAAACAGGAAGTTTTGGAAGACATGTGATATGAACAAGTGTCTGGATGATTAATATATGGAGCCCCTACTGCTTTGTTTCGTTATGTCCTCTACATATCTGTCCTCTACCTATCTGTTTCATTATGTACAGTAGGATTATTTTTTAATGAAATAGGGTGCACCAACAATAAATAAATGAATATATATTTAAAATCATTATGCATTGATGCAACTACTCCTGTTTGTTTTTGTTTTTCATTTGCTTGGTATATCATTATCAGTTCCTTGACTTTAAGTCTGTGTGCACCATTGCTAGTAGCTGTGGGTTTTTTTTTTTTTTGTAGGCAATGAACAGTTAAATTTTGTTTTTAAATCCAATCAGCTCAAGCCAGGCGGTGGTGGTGCATGACTTTAATTCCAGCACTTGGGAGGCAGAGGCAGGCTGATCTCTATGAGTTCGAGGCCAGCCTGGTCTATAAGAGCTAGTTCCAGGACAGGCTCCAAAGGTACAGAGAAACCCTGTCTTAAAAAAACCAAAACCAAAAAAAAAAAAAAAAATCCAATCAGCTAACCTGCATCTTTTAATTAGAGAGTAAAGTCATCTTATATTTAGCATTATTTTTGAGATATATTCCTGATTTCTTTAATTTTGTTCTTCATTTCCCGATTGATTCAAATATTGTTCACTCTTTATTCTACCCTGTTAATCTTAGTGATATAATTAATAATTTAGTGAGTTATATATAACTATCTCTTTCCTAGTTCTTATTTTTTGTCCCATTTGTTCATAACTACCTTTCCTTATTGTCTTTGTATAGTGATATATTAGGTAGCAAGTAGATAAACACAATGGGAACAAGAGTACTAAGTGCCTGAAAAATAGGGGACCGGTGATGTTGTACAGTCTTGTACCCAGAAACTTGCTTATACTACTGTAGGCAAAAAGAAGGCATAGTTGTCATAGTGCTCATTTAATGGCACTTTTTTTTTTTATTTTTGAGACAGGGTTTCTCTGTAGCTTTGGTTCCTGTCCTGGAACTAGCTCTTGTAGACCAGGCTGGCCTCGAACTCACAGAGATCTGCCTGCCTCTGCCTCCCGAGTGCTGGGATTAAAGGTGTGTGCGACCACCGCCCAGCTTTAGTGGCACTTTAAAAGTTTAGAAACTTTAACAACAACAAAAAAATAGCTTCAGGTGGTTCTAGCCCACTGGCTGCTGGTTGAAAATGAATTTTGAGTCATTAACATCTTACTGTCATTGCCAGTTCGGTTCCACCCCTCCCCATTCTCTAGGGTTTTCTTTACATAAAAGCATCTCTCTCTCTCTCTCTCTCTCTCTCTCTCTCACACACACACACACAGCTGGAAATCATCATTACTGAGGGGAAGAAATGGAATGAACTTAGATGGAAATCCTCTAAAGTGAACTAAAGATAACTGCTTGTTACAACTTGGGGCTGATTCTGTTTTGTAATGCCAACTCTTACTGACAGTGCAT